AGCTATGGTGTCTATTTTTTGTGTATTTGCATTTTAATTTCCACGCTAAGACGGTTGTGTTTTGTTTTATTTTATTTTATGTTGTAAGACTTTTGCATTAGGTTTGGGGGATGAGAGGTCTACGGTAGTCATCGTTGGTTTTATTTTGCCCAAGTTGGGTCTAGCGAGTTATATTGCTTTTTGGGAAAACAGTCAAATAGGTCCTCGAACTTTCATAAAAAGGTCAATTAAGTCCTTCTATAGGAGGTTCTGTCCGGCTGTCGCGATTTGGGGCAGTTCCCGGTGGAATTTTTTGATGAATTTGTTTGAGCATCTTATTCACCAAGTCTAGTTTACTCATACCAAATTTCAACTAAAAATTCAATCGGGAACACACTCAAATTAATTCTTGAAGATAACTACGCATTTTTGCGTTCTCGAATTAATTTGAATGCGCTCCCGATTGAATTTTTAGGTGAAATTTGTTATGAGTAAACTAGACTTGATGAATAAGATGCTCAAAAAATTTCATCAAAAAATTCCACCGGGAACCGCCCCAAATCGCGACGACCGGACAGAGTCTCCTATAGAAGGACTTAATTGACTTTTTTATGAAAGTTCGAGGACCTATTCGACAGTTTTCCCTTGCTTTTTCAAAGGTGATTAACTCAGAGTCTCGAACATGGGTGGATGATTACATGTGGTTTTTTTGTCTTCTTTCACCCATCTGAATGTTTTTTATATCAATATAAGTCCCCTTCGATAAAAAAAAATGACACCTTTAATTTCATGGATTCCACATAAATTCATATCGTGGACACCTGAATTCTGACGGAAATATAAACTCCATTAAAAATCCAAATCGGGGCACCCCCAAACTTCCCAAAATTATTTGTATCCAAATTATTGTCCATCAAAAAGAGTTTTTGCCATTTTTAGTCCTCCGACTATTATGTCATTAACACTTTTGGTACTCGACTTTGATTTTTTCATTTCAAGTCTTTGACTATTGCGCTAGAGACACTTTTGGTACCCGTATTTTAAAATTTCCACACTTAGTCCTTCAACTTTAATAAAAGTGAATTTTTTTATCCTTCAACTATTATAATAGTGGCATTTTTAGGGAGTGTTTGCAACTGCTTCTGCTTAAAAAAGCACTTTTGGAGATGTAAGGAAAAAGTGATTAGTAGTAAAAGTTGATAGTGTTTGAGAAAAAAGTGATTTTGAAAAGTAAAAGTTGGTAGTGTTTGGTAAAATAAGTGCTTTTGTGTAATAGAAAAGAGAAAAGCACTTTTCACACGCAAGCCGAGAAAAAGTAAAAATTGTTAGTGTTTGGTAAATAAGTGTTTTTTAAAGCCAAAAGCTGAGAAGTGCTTTTTTTTAAGCAGTTGCAAACACTCCCTTAGTCTCCCACTTATTGTGTCAAAATCATAATGAGAGTACTAAAAGTGTCAGTTTGATAATACTCGGGGAACTAAATGTGGAAAACCTTGAAATCGGGGACTAAAAGTGTCACTGACACAATAATTAGAAGTCTAGTACCAAAAGTGTACTATACTTCTCCCTGTCATCAACTCAAGGCGTCAACTTAACCCCAACCTCTTTCTATTCCATCGCCGGCCAGCCGCCCACCGCTAACTTCGTCGCCGCCAACCCACGTCGTCGCCGCCGCCAACCCATACCGCCGCCGCAGACTTCGTGCAGCTAACCCAAGCCAGCCAGGTTTGTACTCTTCTTCTTCTTCTTCTTCTTCACTTTTTTGGAAAATCATGAAACCAGTCCTATTTTTGTCGGTACCTTTTTTTTAAGTATTTTTTTTCAAAACCCCAAGATTCAATATAATATTGAGACTGCATATATTAAAATTTTTCCCGATTAAATTTTGAGAGTAATTTTTTAAGAGCAGTTATTTCAAATTGGGAAATTTTACACTGTCAATTTGTCAGCAATTGGGTTTTGCATTTTCAAAGCTTGCTGCTGGAAAAGGAGTAAAGGATCGTATTGGGCTATTGACAAGTGGTTTCTGTTCTTTGCTCCGGGACTTCACATCGACCTTCTAACCAAGTTCTCAGCCCCAATTGGAGACCAATCGTCTCTAAAAAATGGTAAGGCTTCTGTATCTGTATTTCCGTGGAGAGAACATTCTTTGAGATTCTTGTTGTTATTTTATATTCATTTTTCCGCCAAAGATTAGTTAGATGAAAGCTAATACGCAGATGAATAAAATTTTAACATGATCAGATTCAATCATGTACTATCATAATTCGTAGTTTATATTGTTCCGTTAGAGTTGATTGGGATCCTGTAGGAGGATACGCTTCGGGACTATTTATGCATTGTTGAGAAATTAAAGACTTTACTTGTCAATAGTAATTTTGATTTTGAAGCCATCTTGTGGTTTGATGCCATCAGCTTTGGCAGTGTTTGCAAAATAATATTTTGATCACATATGTTAATTCTTTTCATTGAGATTTGTTTGCATTAGGGTTTATCATTTTTTTGGTGCAAGTACAGTAGTACAGGCCTTATGCAATTATACTTTTTTGCTTACTGCTTACCTAATTATTCTGCTAATTTCACATTGGGGTTCTGATGATCAAAATGTGTCAGTATCTATCTTTAGTGACTGGATTCCTGATTCCTGACATCACATCTTGACATTATTGTTCCTACCGTAGGATTCTGCAGCTACAAAAGATAGCATTTTGGTGCTCACAGATGATGTTATGTTACCACTTAGTGCTGTTCAGAGTGCAATTGAGATGGTGAAGAAGGGAGGGGTTGAAAAGATGGATCCCATGATCATCACACATGCTTCATCTCAGAGTAGACTTTTTATTGTTTTTTAATCTGATATTATGTTCTCCTTCTTGCTTCTGGTTTCCAACTAATCTTTGCAAGTATATATTGGTGTAACAAATTATTATGTTAATGTATCTCTTTGTAAGGAACTAAGAACAAAAAACTTTCGATCCACCATGTGAGCCATTCCTTCCACCATATGCCCTTTTTATGCTTTGGCTGAATGTCTTGACTGTTGATCATAGAAATATAATACACGAGTTACCTGTTAGTTAAAATGCTTAAAAGAAAAAGCACTGTTAACATTCATCACTAATATATATATATATATATATATATATATATATATATATATATATATATATAGGGAACTCTTCCGGTAAGGTATACCTTACCGGAGCCTCCGTGCGGCCTCCACGTTTTGAGGGCCTTCCCGGTAGAATTTTTCGATGAGTTTTTTTTGAGCTTGTTCTTCATCAAGTCTAGTACATCCATACCAAATTTCAGCAAAAAATTCAATCGGGAAGGCAGTCAAATGATTTTTGGAAGATAACTGCACCCTTTATATGCATATAAAACACAGTTATCTTCCAAAAATCGTTTGGCTGCCTTCCCGATTGAATTTTTTGCTGAAATTTGGTATGGATGTACTAGACTTGATGACGAACATGCTCAAAAAATTTCATTGAAAAATTCCACCGGGAAGGCCTTCAAAACGTGGAGGCCGCACGGCGGCTCCGGTAAGGTTTTGAGCCGCCGTGCGGCCTCCACGTTTTGAGGGCCTTCCCGGTGGAATTTTTCGATGAAATTTTTTGAGCATGTTCGTCATCAAGTCTAGTATATCCATACCAAATTTCAGCAAAAAATTCAATCGGGAAGGCAGCCAAACGATTTTTGGAAGATAACTGCACCCTTTATATACATATACAATATCCTTCGTTGAGCTGATTTTAAAATGTCACTGGACAATTGCACTCTCGATAACTCAATCAAGTCATTTCAACAATTTTAGCTTATTAGATCATTTAGCCAAAAAAAAAAAACTTTTGATGCTGTGCAAGCTAGTTATTGCTCAGTCACTCAGTCCATAACATTTGTTTCCCCATGATCTTATGCTCTCTTGTTATAGTTGCTATGTTTCCCTTAGTATGTAAATTACATTAAAGGTTTCGTTTAATTTAAAAGCACTATGATTTGTTCCACTTTTTTGATAAGACACCAGTTTACTAGATTATATATAATTTGTTGAAGATTTGTGTGATTATCTTACTGGACGTTCCTTCTCAAGCATTAGTGGTATTTATGGTGCAAGAGTATGAAGTCAAAACCTGTTAATTTATATTTGCATGTTTAAATGTTTTTCAGTTTTTCTTCTTATGCTTTTAAGAATGGGCTATGTTATATCCACACACATATAAGTCCTATACTCGATATATATGTAAAGATGTGTGTTTATAATTCAAATTGTGTTTATCCTTAGTTTTCATTTTTTAGTTTGTTGACATTTACTCTCAACTAATTGCAGGCATCTCTTCTGTGGGATCTTGCACAATGGAAATGGTTGTACTTATCTCCAAGTCATCTGAGTTTCCCAGTGGTGAGTTTTTTGTCGATGTCATGAAAGTGTTGAAGCCTGGTGGAACCGTTTTGCTCAAGCCAACTTCTCTTTCAGATAGAGAGACAACGGTCAGTTGGTTACATGGTTTTATGTCTCTCTTTTATTGCATTTCAATTCCTTCACATCTGTTTCTGTGAAGGCTCTTTTAAGTCTCATTGGCTACGCAATGCAGTTGAAGTCTACACTTGAGCGGAAGTTGCTTTTGGCAGGCTTCACGGATATACATATTCTTGATTCTTTCCAATCGTTTGGGGTTAGTGTTTCTTGCTTCTTTAGTAGTTGGCTTTATATCTTTCTGTATAGGTTCTAGTTGCATTTCCTTTCTTTACTTTCTTTTTTATTGTCCCATCATGGGTATATCAGGTGGGTACAGCTGTGTGTGTATACAAGTATAAATATACATTTATGTATATTTATGTGTGTGTGTATGTATACTTACTTATGTGTATATGTATGTGTGTATGTATACTCATCCACATATATATGTATATGTATGTGTGTGGGCACGTGCATATATGAATATATGATCAGAGTATCAAACTCTCTTGAACGTAATGTCATAATTACACATTTTTCAAAGAAAGACTGTTAGGTACAAGCAATTTCACAGTAAATTCACGAATCAAGATGAAGAAGATAGATTGAGTATAAACTGAAAGTGTCGTATAACAAAGAGTATAGGAAGAGAAATACAAAAGGCAGTTAGAGAATGCCAGCTCCCAAGTCCCAAGTCCCGATAATTCCAACCTCCCTTACTTCTACCCTTCTATCCCCTTTTATAGTATTTCTAATGGGCCAGCCCATTATTACATTTTATTAAAATACTCTCTTATATCTCACTCCATCAGCCCATAAATTCCGGTCTCTAACAAAGACACTCCAAGCTTTGCTTTTCCTCGACATTGCATTCACCACTAGAATACACATGTCACTCAAATACTAACCCATCAAGTAAGAATCATCAAACAAGGTATGACATTGCTCATTTCTTGCAAACAACTTCTATGGAAGCATATATAGAGGTGTGATTTTGAGAAGGAAAAGCCCAGCGGTGTGTTCTTGCAATGTCCCCTACACTTCAACCCCTAATCTTGAAGTTCTTCTTTAAGCCTATGCCTATACATATCAAGAACCTCCAATTCTGCAGAAGAATTAAGTTCATCAAACTCAAGGGCATAATCAAATCTTTATATGGAGCTCTTGCAGAAATTCCTACTTCCTTGGCAGCAGGTTTAAAGATTGAATCGTATTGGCATCCTGAACAGAAGTAGGCTGGATTGCAGGACGCTCATTATCAGACATCTTTACCATCTAGGTGCATCTATTTTTTGGAGTCAGTGTGGTCTCCTTTTGACATTCATCCTGAACTGTTTGCTCTTCAGTACTTACTATACAAACTTCAGAACAGTCTTGGACAATGTTGACCTTCTCATCTTCCTCAGAGCTATTCATATCAAATATCCCGCACATAGCTGAGTTTCCACTTTCATTTGCTTCCACACATGATTCAGAACGGCTCCCATTATCCATAACAAGAAAAATCACATCCTCTGCATCTATTTTGATCACTCACTTGAATTCTCATCTTCTCTCAGTTCTCTGACCCTTCCATATTTTTTAACTTCTTGACATCTAATTTGTACAGGTCTGGAGCCTGGACCTTTCCTTTTATAAGGCCGGCATTTCTTAAGTGACTCCTTCACGGACTTCTCAATCAACTGCACATACCTAGCAAAGTCCTCTGTACTTGGCCACATACTTCTCAGTGCTCTCTCCATTTTTACTCTCACTACCGCTTCCTTTCTTAGCCATTTCCTTAGCCTTGTTAAATATTTAGTCCTCCGCCATCTTCTCCAACCTCCACTCCCCAGATTCAGCCATCCACTCCTCCAATTTCTTTCGGCGTTAGCTTGCTTGAGCCTCCTGCCACTCATATCCCGGTAAGCATCAATATTGGAAGACGTCTGATAAACAAGGAGAGGATGGAAAGAAAAAGTGGGCAGTACAGACTATTTATTTATTATTCTCTTTCCCTTTTCTAGTATAAACTTTTTCATAAAAAGTAATGCCATGCTTAAGAAGTTAAGAGTAGACTGTTGCCTTCCTTAACAAGAAAAAGATAAATAGATTCAAGGACAACTTAGCCATTTTACTTTATTGGTTTTCTTAAAGGCCAGTTCTCTCTTCTCTGTGAACAATTTTTTTGTTAGTGAACAGGTATTTAAGGACAGAAGAAGTAACTGGCACTAGCCCGTTATAGTTAAAGCAAAAGTAAAAATAAACAAACAGACGGTAAAACTATGAAAACAGACAAACTAATGTACAACTTACCATCGAAGCCAGAAGATTTGGTGCTGCCCATTGTTCAACTTTAGGAAAAAAGAAGTGTAGAAAACAGCCAAGTGTGGTTCACTATGGTCCTTGTGATGGACTTCACTAAAGTGGCAATACTGCAAGGAAGCAAAGGGGGAAAACCATTTAAGTGACACTCTGTTTGAGACCATATAGCACTGGTTGTGTTTCATAATTTAGGAAGGAAATTGTACCATTTTTTGTTTTCTCAAAAAAGGAAAAGAAGTTGGGGAGGTGGGTCAACCACCTGACCCGATCTAAATTGCCTTTCACATTATGCAACTGTATCCAACTCATTTCAGTTTATTCTGTCCCCAAGAACATTTGGGAACTGGTTGGCCAGCGTCCCCATTGCGAATTTGCCCCCATCCCGGATCCAGAGCTTCAAACAGCATTATTATGCTAACTATGCTTCCTAGATTGTGAACTTGCAATTTTTACCTCTAAAAATAGTGACTATTTAAAGAAACAACTCAATTTTCCTAATTATTATTACTACTATTATTATTATCATGTACATTTGTTTGTTGCACATTTTGAGAGAGAGAGAGAGATCCATTTGTCAGGTCTTTTAGTTTTATATACGGACACTACATTTTTTTAGTACTCCTAATGTCTAACCAATTATAATGCCTCAGTTGACTTTAACTCAGTCTTTTAGTTTTGCAAATTTTGTAATTAGAGTTTGCACAAATATTTAACAGATAACTGGTAAGAGGCCTTCATGGAGTACTGGTTCGTCCTTTTCCATAAAAAAAGATACAAAAAGTTTACCCAAAGTTCAGATATATGAAGATACAGATCTCATTGATGAGGACAGCCTTCTAACAGAAGAAGATCTGAAGAAACCTGAACTGCCCACTGGTAAGCATTGTGATGGTTGTCTAGGTTATCACTTCATTAAATTTGTAAATCTAATTGCCAGATTCTATTTGTATTCATGTTTTTTCAGTTGGTGATTGTGAGGTAGGGGCCACTAGAAAAGCCTGCAAAAACTGCAGTTGTGGTCGAGCGGAAGCGGAGACAAAGGTGCAGCTCGGATTAACCACGGAACAAATTAACAATCCTCAGTCTGCTTGCGGCAGTGTAAACTAACTTTTTATGCTATTTAATATTAAGCATATATATTATCTATATCTACTGGCGTATGGCGACTAAAGGCTGTAATTTAGTGATAAGTAGGGAGTATTAAATTTGCATGGTTAGAAAACAAGGTAAATATAAAACTTGAGATTTTTTCTTCTAATTCAGCTATGTTTGATAGAAGGCATGAATGCTGAATTTGAATACCTCTATTCCTGAAGAAAAGCCATGAAAATGAGTATGAGTAATCCAGTATTACTTACTAAGTTTATTTTTATATCTATTGATTATTATGTTTTCACCTACAAAGGAAGAAAAAATAATGCTTTTTTGTGTCTCCTAGTATTGTTCTCCGTATGAATTTTACTTAATAATTAAAGTTGAATTTTAAAGATTGACCTTTTTAGGGACAGTAGTATTAAAATGCAAATCTTTTTTGTTGGGCGAATGGAGTAAACGTCTTACTCCTGTTCGCAATAGATCTGGGATTAGTTTCTGCAAATTGTGACAGAAAGGAAGATTTCAGTATTAGGTGAGAATCACTCACTTGGGTACTACAAGCCAAACTGAGTGATTGTCGTCTAATACTGAAATCTCCCTTTAATTTATAATATAGTTATGACGTATGTGTGTTTCTCTCTGCAGTGTGGTCTAGGTGATGCTTTCCGATGCGCTACATGCCCTTATAAAGGTCTACCTCCATTCAAACTAGGCGATAAGGTGCAAATTTAAGCAGCTCTCATATCCATTTATATATTATCCCTCTATTACTGTGTTGATTCATTTATCTAAGATTTTTTGGTGCTTCTCTTGTGATATATAGCTTTGTTTGGGCTATATTTTGAATACTTAAAATAGTAGGGAAGTGGAAAAAATATGCAAAGGAAAATGGAATTCTATAGAATCGACTTTTTACTGCAGAAGATTCAACTAAAATTCACATGTGATTAATACTTAACTAATTTTTTAATATATATCAAGACATTTTAGTCTTTATGTGATGCAGAGTATAATAGATAAGGAGAGAAACGGATGTTTTTAATATATTTTCAGTGTATATAAAACTGGTTTACAAGGCTGCAATTTATACACATCCTAATCATGTATATAAGGTAAATAATAATACACATTAAATGACAAGGATTCTAACGGCTAAATACAATATTCTGGAAATCAGCTCTTTCCTTCAATACGCCCCCGCAAGCCAGGTATTCTGTCACTGCCAAGAATCCTGAGCTTGTCTCTAAGAAGGACGAAGCGTTGTCGGGGAAGCGGTTTGGTGAGGGCATCAGCTATCTGATCAGAAGATGGGATATGATGAACCTGTAGAAGTCCTCGTTGAACCCGCTGGCGAACAAAATGAAAGTCAATAGCCACATGTTTCATGCGAGAGTGAAAGACAGGATTTGCGGAAGATGTGGTAGCACCTTTGTTATCACAAAGGAGGAGTGCAGGAGAAAGGAGCGGGTGCCGTAACTCCCGCAGAAGAGATTCAATCCAAATAATTTCAGAGGCAGCGGTAGAAAGAGCTCGGTATTCAGCTTCCGTGGAAGACTTAGCAATAGTGCGCTGCTTGACTGACTTCCAAGATATAAGGGACTCCCCAAGAAAAATGGCATATGCGCTGGTGGAGGAACGATCATCAGGATTCCCTGCCCAGTCAGCATCGGCAAAAGCACGAAGAGAGGGGGATGTGCTTCGACAAAGAAGGAGACCATGAGAGGATGTGCCCTGTAGATAGCGCAAAAGACGTTTGAGAAGCTGCCAATGATTATTCGTAGGTTTATGCATGAATTGAGCCAGTTTATTAATAGCAAAGGCGACGTCGGGGCGGGTAAGATTCAAATATTGAAGTGACCCAAGGACCTGACGATAGAGAGTGGTATCACAGGAGCCTGAACTGTCAAACAGAGTTAATGAAGCAGAGGAAGCTAATGGCGTAGCCACAGGATTAGCCTCATCCATTTTCACTATTTTCAACAAGTCCATAATGTATTTATGTTGATCAAGAAAGAGTCCATTCTGTGTAGGAGTAACCTGCATACCCAAAAAATAGTGTAAGGCCCCTAAATCCTTGATAGAGAACTGGCGGGCCAATGAGTCAATAGTCTGACGTATCAATGCTGGTGTAGAGCCAGTAACAATGATGTCATCCACATAAACCAATACATAGATGTAAGATGGATGGGAGGAAAAGACGAACAGACTGGCATCAGCAACAGATTGATAAAACCCAAGTGATAGAAGAAATCCACTAAGAGATTGATACCACACCCGAGGCGCCTGCTTAAGGCCATAAATAGATTTCCGCAGACGGCAAACAAACCCAGAACCATCATTAAAGCCAGGAGGTTGTTTCATGTAAACTTCCTCCTGAAGATTTCCATGTAGAAATGCGTTATTGACATCTAACTGATGTATCGGCCAACTATGGGAAAGAGCAATAGTCAAGACAATGCGAATAGTGACCGGTTTGATGACCGGGCTAAACGTGTCAGAATAATCAATCCCAGGGCGTTGGTGAAAGCCCTTAGCCACTAACCGAGCCTTATAGCGATCCAAAGAGCCATCCGATTTATACTTCACAGTATAGACCCATTTACAACCCACAACATTCTGACCAGGCTGAGCCGGAACAAGATCCCAAGTGCCTTGTCGAACCAAGGCATCAAATTCTACTGTCATAGCACTCCGCCATTCTGGGACCTGCATAGCTTGAGAAGCACAAGTGGGAATTATATGGTGAGGTAAAGGAGCATTAGTAGCAATATTGGCTTGCTTACGGGGTCGAAGGGTCATCGGATGGGTACGTTTGGGTGGTGGAGTATCAAGGGGTGGGTTTGAGGTAGTGGGATCAGTGGTGGTGGGTAGATGAGGAGTGGGGATAGGAGGATTGGGTTTGGTTCGGCGTTGGTAAGTAATAATTTGTGGTGGTGTGGGTTTAGGAGGGGTGGGTTTAGTTTGGGTGGAGATAGTGGGTGACGTGTCAGGAGCCAATTGTTGAGATGAGGTATGAGTAGGTGGAGACGCCCCCGCAGCCAGAGTATCTGAAATGGGAAGGTAAGACATAGAGGGTTGAAGCCAGTGATCAACTTCAGAAGAAATATTTGAGACGGGTGATGAAGATGTAGAGAAAGGGAAGACTGACTCATCAAACACAACATGCCTGCTGATAAAGATACGACTGGTTGTAAGATCAAGACAACGATAAGCGCTTTGTTGGTCACAATACCCCAGGAAAACACACGGTTTAGATCGTGGTTCTAATTTATGAGTGGTATACGGACGTAACCAAGGAAAACATTGGCACCCAAAAATAGCAAGTTTAGAATAATTAGGGGTTTGTTGGAAGAGTTTTTCGTAAGGAGTGCAAAAGTTAAGAGAGAGAGCAGGCTGCCTATTAATGAGATAAACCGCTGTAAGAAAAGCATAGGACCAATATTTAAGAGGCATGGATGCATGGTGAAGAAGAGTGATGCCAGTTTCCACAATGTGACGATGCCGACGTTCAGCAAAGCCATTGTGTTCTGGAGTGTAGGGAGGCGTAAATAAATGAGAAATACCACATGTGCTTAGGAATTTCCCTAAGGTGATGTATTCTCCTCCCCCATCAGAATAAACTGTTTTAATGGTGCGTTGAAAAAAGTTTTCAACAATCTTTTTAAATTGTTGAAAGAGTGGAGTCACCTCACTCTTATGAGTCATGGGATAAAACCAAATATATTTGGTATAATGATCAACAAAGATAACATAGTAACGAAAGCCATCAACAGAATTAACACGAGCGGGACCCCAAACATCTGTATATATTAAATCTAGAGGCCCAAAGCTCGAAAGAGATGATTTTGCAAATGGTAGCTTATGGCTTTTATTACTAGCACACGAGACACATAGAGAATTATTTGGAGTAATATCGGTAAAAGAAATACCTAAGGAAGATAAGATTTTTTTAGTGATAGGGAGGGCAGGATGTCCTAAACGACAATGCCATTTATTAAGGGAATATTTTTGTGTGATGTGGGCCGATGGAGATGGTGGAGGGGGGGCGTCTGGCAAGCTGTAAACGTCTCCTTTATTCATACCCCGTAACAAAATTGCTCCTG